CAATTTACAGCTGTCAGATATGGTTACTGGTAGCTAATGGCACAACTAATTCTTAACAGAATGAGAATTTACTTTGACCTCTTAAAGTGTGATAAATAGTAAGAACACTTCCATTCCTCTTAACCATTGGACATATTAATATGAAATGTGTTGTGTTTATATGTAAAGAGAGGTTTTTATTGATTGGTTTGGATAACAATTGCCATAATTTGGCGCATTTGTTTCTCATGCTTACTTTAACTGTTCAACTTGATATTGTGTATATATATGACCTAACTTTCTTACGATAAAATAAAATAATCTGGATAAGATACTTGGTTTGGCTGCCACATGGATTGGCAATTTCGGGCATTCATCATTTCTGATGATGAACTTGATAATTAGAGCTCTTTATGAGAAGAATGAAATCATTTGCACCAGCCACATGATTTTGTCATCGTGAATTTTCAATAAAGTCAATTTGTTTTAGAATGTATGGCTCAAGTATTTTACGGGACAAATGAAAAATAATGCAAATCAGTTACGGTCTTTGGCTGCTGTCTTTGATTTCTTCTAAACAGGGGGTTGATATTGACTGAAGCCACAGTTATTCGACTATTTTGAAATGTCTAAACCAAACTCCTCCAGAAAGCAAACAAATAGTTTGGATCAGTCATCAGGCTAAAAAGTCCTTTAATTTATTTATATGTTTCAGGTTAATGTTCAGAAAATAAATACTGGACGTGTCGAGCGGCTAGCAATACAAGGAGTCTCACAATCTGTCATGCATGTGCACAATTTTGTTAATGTAATACTAGATCGTATCAGTGCCGAGGAAGGAAGAAAGCGAGAAGCAATGCTTCTTGCCAAAAATGTCACGTGGAAGTTTCATACTAATAGTGGAGATTTTGAAGCATATGAAGATGAAATCTGTGGAATAATTGAACAGGCAAGACATTCTGGGAATCCCCACGTAGATTTCGAAATTGAAAGACGCACATACAGAATTATTTTCAAAGAAATGATTGAGGTGGATCTAGACGATTTATCTACTGGGGAAGTCAAAAGAGAATTGAAAGAAGGTAATGATAATATAATTTATTATTATACATCTGTCACCGTAACGCCATAAGTTACAGCGTGCCGTAATTTTGCGGTATTTTACGGGGTATTTTCATCTTACCAGATTAGAAAATGCGAATTCCAAATATGGAATGATTACGCACGAAAGCGTCCTCTAATAATAAAAACAAACATGGCTGCCACTCTAGTTTGACCTGACTCCACACAAAAAAGTTCGCTGATTCTGTTCTAAACATTTTGGATTTCGGCAGTCCCATGGTTTATCATTGAAAAGAAAAGATGTATTATACTAAGGTTATTACGGGAATACCTGGAAATATGCACTCAGACAGCTGCGCGTCCGATATTCAAGCTGTACTAACAGACGCTCGGTACGTTTCCGTGATAATAAAAGAAATAAACAATAGGGGTCGAGAGATCGCCCGGCCCTGTAACCATTATAGTATAGAAGGTCGGCAAGAACTGTCGGCGTGAAAACGAAAAGTCCCAAAATCAATCGTTTTTCGAAATATGATTTCAAATAAAGTAAATGCTCTTCGGAACGATCTCTCGACCCCTACTGTATATTTCTTTGATTATCACAGAAACGTACCGAGCGCCTGTGGCTGTACTGTCTTCGTGCATACTTTGAGGTATTCTGATAATAACCTCATAATATTATCTCCACTATGATAATATTTTTACTATTGTCCTTGAAACGACTCGTCAAAAATCTGGCTTTCGACCGTCAACAATTATATTTGACTTCTTTGAACAAACACATAACTAGGTTTACCTTTGATTTTGATATGTCGGTACCTGTAATGATCATTATCCCGATGTGTTACTTATATGATCATTTGAATGCTTTTCTTTAACAAATATTGTTTTGTAAAAATGTATATTCTTCATTTTTTTCCTGAGTGTTTTGTGTTTTTATTCTTTTTCGTTAGGCGGCGTACCACTGCCATCAAGTTGGACCACAATGGCCGATAATGAAACTGTGAAAGTGGAATATATATCTGCCACTTCTAATGAATACCAAACTGTCGAGAAACGATTCAAAACTTTGCTTTGGGGAACTAACAGCAATGTAATAAAGGTACTGTTGTAATGGATTCTGCATTCAAATTGATTTCGCCCGTAATTAGTACGTAACACAGGGAGTATGAGCTAGTTGATTGACATCACTGAATATTTCTCGTTTGTCAGCAATATTTTGTTCAAATGAGTAAAAACTTTGTACGCACATGTTTTTCGCTGGTTAAATATCTGATTGCTTCCTATAAACTGGTGCATATATTTATCTTTTGCATCCTAATCCACTATTTCAGCATATACTAAAAAAAGTTTACACTTTCATATTTTTATATTTCTATAAAAATACTGTTGGAATGTTTTGATATTCATGTACTTGGGGTATTTTGGGAATAGGCGTTTTTCAAGGAAACATAGAGCTTAAACCTCAAGTCGGTGCCACTTGCCTTATATCACAGAGTAAAGATGTTCGTGTTACATTACAATACCTTGCAATTGCGGATATCAAAAGGCCAGACACAAAAAAAAATATTCATCCCATCTTGTTTTCTTTTCTTGTTTGAACGTCACACTCATTTTGAATGTCTTTTAAACGATATATAAACCACGTATATTGCAAAAATTATTGAAGCGGTGAACAGTGGTTGAATGAATGCGGTTGTAAGACACCTTTCATACATTTCTCGTCCTAAGTCTCACAGTGTGCTGAAGTATTACCACGCCGCAGTATGATGATCACAATAAATATTATTCTTTATACATTTGCCTTTGAAGATTGAACGTGTACAGAACCCAAGATTATATCGACAATATATGATCCTTAAACAAGACATGGATGCTAAGAATCCAGCGGGAACAGACAATGAAAGAATTTTATATCATGGTACAAAAGGTGACAGTGTTGATAAAATTAACCATGATGGTTTTAACAGAAGTTTTTGTGGTAAAAATGGTAAGTTCTTCAAATAGTTATTTGATATATGCTGCCTGACTTGCTCTCAGGTTGGGATCTTACTGTTGGAATGTTTTATTTTTTCAAAATTGTTAAATATAGTAGTTTCTCGATAATCATGATATTCATGCATGTCCCGACAAATCACAATATGTTTGCTTTCACATGTTTCTATATAAAAAATTGAATGAAATTGTCAGTGGTCATCGAGTAAAGTTATTTGAGCACAATTTTACCCTGGCGGCAGCTAAGCCCATTCATGCCTTTACTAACTTTCTTCAAATTTTGCTTACAGCCACTGTGTATGGTGAAGGGAGCTACTTTGCTCTCGACTCCAAGTACTCTGCAAGGAGCACATACTCACCAGTTGATTCCAACGGTCAAAAGCACGTCTACCAGTGTAAAGTATTAACTGGTGTATTCACTGTTGGTCATGAAAGCCTTGTTATACCACCATATAAGAATCCAAATAAATCATACGATCGGTATGACAGTGTTGTGGATGATGAGAAGAATCCTAAAATTTTTGTTGTTTTTAATGATGCTATGGCCTATCCTGAGTATAATATCACTTTTAAATAAATGTGTTTTTCAAATATAATATAAATTTATTTGCATCTCATTCTAATTTGAAAAGGCAGCTGAATATACTTCAAATACACAAGTCAATTATTCTTTGAATCTTTGATATGTTATCCGGGTAGCTGTTGGCGTGTTGGTGATTGGTGGTATATTATATGAAGGAATAACTTTCTTGACTTTTTTGAGTATTTTTTAAAGTTTATTCAAGGTTTACCAATTCCCTTATTTCTGTAATAAGGGTCCAGTAATTTCAATAATTTAAATTACCTTTACAGGGCGTTTTTCATTCGACGGTTAGACTTGCTTGCAGTCTGTTACGATTCCGAACAAAATCTTGAAAAATAAATATAAATTGCGTAAACGCGAAGGTAATTTTTCCGTGTATTCCCAACAGACTTGCCATCAGTGTAAGTGCCCTCAAATTATCGGCCAGATTCGGGCTTGTAATGATTGACATGTCTAATATGTTTCAACCAATCAGAAGACAGACTAATTAACATATCAACTGAGACCCCGGAAACCATACACACTTTCTTGGATAAACTTAGATTCCGAAAACTTTACCTACTTTCTCATATCGAATCGCTTATGCCATTTTAACTGTCTGCCCCTACAGGCCGTGGGAAATCACGGACATACGAAATGGCTCCGTTTTGTATAGACTACAGGCGATGTGGTAAGTTTAAAGAATTTCGCCTGTCGTCTGCCTTTACGTTGTCAAGACCGCACACAATACAGATAATTTCTTGCGTTCTCGGAGAAACGATGGTTGTTTTACTCAGTTTTGTTGGCGTCAACATCTCTTTTTACCTCTATGGCGTCAACAACGTGGTAACATAGCGTGAGACAAGTAAATGCAGGCACGTGCAATATCCGGTTTATTGTTATGATCCGTGGCCCGGCTGCTCCACCAATGGTATGACGTATATGCAAATTTACAAGCCCGAATCTGGCCGGTAATGTGAGGGCGCTTACACTGATGGCAATTGTTGGGATTTCGCGCTCACATGACTTTCGCGTTCACCCCTCGTTTACGCAATTTATATTTATTTTTCAAGAATTTTTCATCGTATCGCAACAGATTACAAGCAAAATTCAAATTCGACTGTGTGAAATACATACCCTTTGATTTGATTGTACAGTTATATTCTATATTAAAATGCAATGTGATGTGGATAACGAAGCATGATTGAATAGTTTTTTTGTAGATTGCAAATCGTATTTTTGTATGCAACGTTGAATATGTTGTCCATTAAATACTGAAAACATGCTTTTCATTACATGTAAGTATAGACTAATTTGCGTATGTCGTCGCCGTTTTTTTCGAGGTATGTACGGTACCCTCTAGAAGACATCTGAGACCAGTTTTGAGACTCTCCCACAGAGGAAGATGCCATTTGAGACCGTGTTTGAAACCAGCTTTTGAGACTCTCGGATGCCACGCAGACCGGAAATGAGACCGTGTCTGAGACCAGTAAATTCGTGTAGTCTGATTTGACAACCCTCTGACATCCGAAATTGTATTCTACTCTTTCCACCATGAATTTAGGAACGGAAAAATTGTTGACAGATTTGTTAGCGTATGGGAAAATTAAGACGCTAAAAAAGAGAAAAGAAAACGTGACAACATAAATATCTCATTTAGAGATTAGTTTGACGACATACAAGACTGTATTATGATGTAGTGTATCCTGAAACATGAAGCTCGGAATATTTAGTAACTCTGTTGTTTATGGCAGTTGACGTAATCGTTAACAAACCCGATATCATCCAGAAAAACAGGCGCAAAATTCACCCAATTAGCCAGTTAACGGATAGTTACAATGATCTGTGGCCATCCATAAGTGTTTTTTTATTTGTCAATGTTCCGTTGGGGCGAGTCATGGAGCTAAAAAAAAGGATTTTTAGCTTCATGGGTGAGTGGAAGTACGTCATAGTTTAGAGAAAAGTTCCGCGATTTGCGTTCCCAAGTACTAAGTATCAACAGAGGTGCGTAAAACCACGGCTACCATTGGCTGGCGGTGCCCAAAAGAGTTGGCGTCCTGGCAACCAGGGAGACAGCTGTTCATTTCCCTTCAGTTCTATCTAGTTCTTGGCGCCACTGAGCAAGAAACGAGATTACGTTTGTTGAACGTTGGGTCGCACGTGTTTATGGGTTTTTCTCGGAAATGTGTGCTAATTAACTCCGTTACCGAACTACATCAGTAACAACTGTGCTAGTTTTCACGTCCATTGTGGCAAATTTAACACCTCTACGAGGTGTGACTATTTTTGAAATCACGTGACACGGGAATTCCTTTTTACAGGCGTGACCACATATTTTTACTGATGTAAAATAAAATATTTACCGTGGTAAGAAAATGGTGTGCGTTAGGAAGGCTTTTTTATTATTTATTTAAATGGGTATATCAAACAGTTCATTCAATAGTTTGCATAGAACCGTGATCACGGGAAGTGCTATTCGCATCTCGGTACTCGCATATGGTACTTTTTCAGGTCATGCATACAGTAGATATATGTTTGGGTACTAAATTCAGTGCGAAATGCCTGTACTGTCCAGTTATGGAGTACTACTAGTATACTAAACTCTGGTTTATTTTTTTATTTTACATTTTTTTTTATTCACATATTTTCCCAAAAAAGTACATTACTTCAAAATAATCTTGCATGTCAAAAAGATATACATAAAGGTAATTAACAACATAAAATGAAGCAATATTAGAAAAAGAAAAAGAGAAGGGGAAAAGTGGGAAAAAATGGTTGGGGGAGGGCTGTTGTTGTTAGTGTGTGTATGAGAAGGGGTTCATTTGTTTCTTTTATAACTGTTGAATTTCATTATTTACATGACTACATGTTAAA